GCTGGGGGGCGCGCCCGGCGCATCCCCCACCCCCTCTGCGTGTCCTCTGCCCACATCCATTCACGGCCTCCACCGCCCCCACACTCAGCCCCGAGGGGCATCAGCTTTTCCACCGCTGCTTTCTGGTTCTTTAAATCCTAGAGGCAAACTTTTGGGGGATACGGAAAGCTGGGCGGGGCCTGCGCCTTAACCCTGTCTGCCCCAGACGGACTGAGCTGGACTGGGCGGTGACGCCGCGCCCGTTTGGGCCCCTACCATGGCCCCCGAGAGGGGCTGACATTTCAGTCCCGGTGCAGGTAAAGAAGAGACCAAATCCAGGGGTGGGGCCCGGACTCCTGGGCCTGAGTGGGGGAGACACTGGGACCCCTGACTCCTGGGCTGAAGAGTAAGAGCTGGAAGCCAGGAATCCGGGGACCTGAAACAGGAGGGGGCCTGAAGAGGTGGCACCGTGGGCTGGGACGCCTGGGTCCTGATCCCCTTCCAGGTTCCGCATGACACTTCCTTTGCCAGGTGAGATCCGGCCGGGAGGAAGGAGGAAGAAAGAGCGGGCCTGGGACCAGGAGGCCGAGGCGGGTTCCGAACCCAGGACACGGGATCCCAGCTTGAGCCTGAGCGAGCCGGCCCCCCTCAGCGAGGACCACGAGGTATGTGAGGGGCAGTGGTGGGCTGGAGTCCCCAGTCAGGTCCAGAGGGAAGCGGACCCAGGGCCATAGAGACGGCGGCCGCCGAAATCCCGGCCGCAGCCACGTGGCCTCAGGAGGTGCGTATTGTAGCCCCCAGGGGCCAGGGTCTCCCCCTCTAGGGTCCCCCAGCCCGCCTCGCTGCCTTTCCCACTCTGCTGCGAACCAGTCCAGCCGGATCTGGAGCGGGTTGTTATCTCTGTCCTGGCGGGGCTGGGGCCGGAGCGGACATAAGAGAACCAGCTGTGCCCCCCCCTCCACCCCCCCCCCCCCCCCGCCCCTGCAGCTGGAGCGCTGCAGGAAGGGGAAGAGGCGGATGGGGGCGGGAGAGGGCCTCAGCCCCGGGCGGGCGCGGAGGCAGGCGGCCCGTGTCCCATCATCGCTATTGCCTCTCTGCCTGCTTCACGTTTGTCACAAACAAGGCCCCTCTGTAGGAGCTCTGGCCGATTGATGGACTTTTTCTGAGCATGACATCATTGCATCGAGCACAGAACTCTGCTCGAGGGAGGTTAGAGCCTCTCTTTAAGAGAAACGAGGCTCGGAGAAGTGAAGCGACTTGCCCCAAGGTCTCAGAGCTTGCAGAAGAGGTGGCATTCACAACAAACAAACAAACAAACAAACAAACAAACAAAACCATTTCTTTCATTGTTCTCATCTGGAATAAATAAAAAGAAAAAGGAAAAAAGAACCAAACATGGTCATGGGCGTAGAAAATCCCTGGCCTTTATAGCAAATCAAAACATTCTTTCCATGGGATGCACGTGGCCTGCCCTATCCTATGTGGTTATGAGAGATCTAATATCATCCTTAGACTCGGGAATTCAAGTGCTGGCATCCAAATCCGGCCCCCAGCATTTGCTACTGTGTGACCCAGGGCGTTACTTCACCTCTCTGTGCCCCAGCCACCACATCTGTAAAATAGACATTTTAACACTGGCCTCCTCCTCTTTGGGTCGTTCTGAGGATTACTTGAGTTTGTTCATCTGTGTAAAGCACATAGGCGCCCGCCTGGCCCAGAATAAGTGCTTGGGAAGTAAAATGTGAACATCATGAACGTACTTCAAGACCACCCCTAGCACACAGGCATTCTGATTCCCGTTTTCCAGCTAAGCAAACCGAGGTTTACGGTTGAAGAAGTTAGTTCAGGGTCTTACAGAAAGGAAATGGCAGCCCAGGTACACCAAGATCTTAATATGCTACCAGGTGCTGGAAAATGACGGTGACGTCACCTGGTAGGGAAACAGGATGGGATGAGGAGCAAGCTAGGGCTTTGCCGGGAGAAGCAGTGCCTCAGAGCTGCCCAGGGAGCCATCCCTTCAAGGGGCAGCAGGCAGTGGAAGAAGTGACTCTGGGTTCTGAAGACCCACAGAGCTGGCTTTGTGACCTCCAGCAAGTCACATACTCTGAATGTGTTTCCTTGTCTGGAACATGGAAGAATGACCTAAGGTGTGACTGCTGAGCATTTATTGAGCATTTTCTGTGTGCAGGGTACTATGCTAAGACTTTCATGGGCAACATCTCACCTATTCTTTCAGAGGTTATGAAGTATCATACAGGTGTCATTCCATTTTTGAGATGAGGTCAGAAAGGTTAAGTAACTTGCCTCAAGCCACACAGCAATCAATGGGCAACGGCAGATCCAACCTGGGCAGTTGGCTCTCTGAGTTCTCTTTTCACCTATAATTCACTGCAGTGTATTAATGGGCACTGAGACAACATTTTTTATTTTAAACTGTGAATTGACATTCATTAATGACTCTTAGAGGTCAGCATTTAAAAAATATATAAAATAGATTAGAGTTGAAAATATCCAAGTGCCTAGCATGTTATAAGAGTAAGTCTTGTTTTGTACAATTTTTGTTTCCCTTACATGGAGGGCAGGGGGTGATTGTGTGCCAGGTTGCAATAAAAATATATTTGTTCATCTAGGTGGAGGTCAGAGAAGTTTGAGAAACACTGCTCAGGTGGTAAAACAAAACTGGTTTTTCTAGAAAAATGTGTGTGTGTGTGTGTGTGTGTGTGTGTTTGGGTAGGGTAAAGGGCAGTTCTCACAACTCATCCATCTACAATTATTCTATATCCTTTTGGCTTAACTTTTTGTCCACATTATCACTGATATTGCCCAGGGTGCTTGTTACTAAAAGAACAATGATGGCTGTTTTGCCTCCTTTATAGGATTTTATTAAATCTAAATTTTGTTCCACTGTGGTTGTTTGAGGACACATATCCTGTCACCCAACACTAGCACTACCAATTGGCTGGCACTGTTACAAATATCGTTTTCAATGTAGTTTTCTTTGATTGAGCCTTTCTATGTGCCCTGCAAGGAAGCTAGTGCTATTTTAATCATTTTACAGATAGGAAACAGACAGAGATCACGTAATTCATACAGCTGGCAAAGGGTGGGGCCTCAATTCAAATAGAAAGAAGATCGTTCATTATAATAACAGTGACTGTTATTACAAAGGCACAAGGTCATCAGAGTCCCTCCCATAATTCCATAAAAACAGCCAAGTTCCAGGATGTGGGCAAAGGTTGGCAGACATTTCTATTTACCATGAATCACTGCAGCCACGTGGCAAGAGGGTATCTAGTGAGTTTACAGTTCACAAGCTGCCAGATTAAAATTTATGCCATTTTTCCATTTTTTAACATAGAGAAATTTGCGTTATTATCTTATAAAAAGTGAGATCTTATTTCTTTCAAAATCAAATACAGTAATACCTTGGTTTGTGAGCATAATTCATTCTGGAAACAAACTACTCGTATTGCAAGACATCGCTCGTTTACCAAGTTAAAATGTATTAGAAATGTTTGCTCATCTTGCGTTACTCGCAATCCAAGGTTTTACTGTAATTCAAATTAAGACATGCTGTGCCTGTATACAGATTCCCAAGCCCACCCTAAAACTCCCAACTTAGAATCTTCAGGCAGGCCTGCAGTCATGATTTTTGTGTGTTCCAGCCAAAACCTTTATGGACCCCTTCGTATACATGAAATTATATTTTAAAGCTGCATTGGTATAAAGTCAAATATAATGCACACATTTTAAAATAAATGCAAACATTTCCATGTTTTCACTGGCCTCTGAAAGTGTGTGGACCCTAGGCATGGTGCCTGCTGCACCCACTGGATGCAGCCAGCCCTGTCTTCAGAAATCTCCATGTGTGAGGAGCTGGAGTTTCTGTCAAGTCTGGGAAGCACTCTTGAAGGTTGCTCATTGCCTGGCCAGCCCTGTCTTCAGAAATCTCCATGTGTGAGGAGCTGGAGTTTCTGTCAAGTCTGGGAAGCACTCTTGAAGGTTGCTCATTGCCTGGCCTCTAGGAAGCTCAAATGTTAGTTCTTAGTGGAATCAGCATAGCATGGTGGTGATGGGCAGACGTAAACTTGAGTCTGAGATGTGAATCAAGCAGATGAGACTTGGTGTGTGTGTGTGTGTGTGTGTGTGTGTGTGTGTGTGTGTGTGTCTGGGAGCCTCAGTTTCCCCACTTATAGAATGGTAATAATCC